CGCGCTAGCCTAAGGGCCACCTTAGCAAAGCGCATCCCAGGCTGCATAGCCGCACTACCCTACCCAACCATACCACACATAAACATGACACTACCCCCGGGGTTTACACAGACGAGCCGGCGAAGCAAGAAGAGCGCCAGAAGAAAGGGCCCTAGCCGGCGGGGCCCAGCCAGGACAAAAGGAGGTCCCACAAAGCGCCTACACCGGCCGCATTTGCGGTCGGGGTAGACGACGGATGGGGCCCACCTACGAAGGCTGTCCAGGCCTACACGAGATGAGGCAGGATAAAGAGGGATAATCCCCCTCGATCCCAAATCATTGAGGCCAATTTCTAGCCATAGAATAATGGCGATTCACATAACAACAAAAGCACAAAGAACCATATGATCATATGCAGAGAACCCAGTAGTTATCTATTGTCTCTGGAACCCAATATCCTCTTTGTCAAAAGTGAGATGGAAAAGAAGAAGAAGAATAAAAGTTGTCTGCTGTCATAGATTACAGAGAGTTTCTGCTGTCATTTACCAATGAATTTTATTATTCTAATTTAACAATAATGATAATGATAATGATCTATTTTTTGCATTAAATCATGATCGAAGTATACGGCTTTTTTGATAGCGATAACGATTTAACTAAAACAAGCTTTTCTGTATTCGTCGCCATTTTATATATCAAGGTTTTATATATTTTAGTGATGACTTTATATGCACTGTCAAGATACAATGAAATTTTGTCTTAATACTGCGTTTTAATTAGTTATGTTTTATATTAAAGAGGTATGTAAAGAAAGCGAATATTTACAGTTTGAAATTATTATGGAAACGTTTTTAGAATTTGGCAAAAAATTCACCATGGATTCTGTCCCATTGGAAAGACGAAAAAGTCGTTTCGATACCCACAAATACTTTGAAAGACATAAGGAATTATCACATTGTGGGTATAGATTTCTTATATCACAATTACAGGAAACAAGTACATTAACGAACCATCAAGATTTTGATTTACTATTACAATATATTTTAGTTTAAAGGTGCTATTCTAAATGAAGAAGAGGGCATGAATATGCAATTGCAAGTGGCAGTGTTTTTAAATGCAATGCTCAATTATGTAGAACCTAAATTTCTTGTTTTAATTATAACTCCGGATCATTATATTGTAAATTGGCACTACCATTTAACAATACATGGAGGCCTCAGAGTTCAAATAATCACCCCTAAAAGTAAGTTAAAATTTTATACAGTTTTACAAGCATTATGAATATCTGTATTAAGCTTGCCCAGAAGATTTCGATGACGAACATGGTCTAGCATTGTTATTGTCTTTCTCTAACTTGAAGTTGATGGAATACCTAATTGATTATGATTTCTTCTCTGTTGTTATTGACGATTTTAATGAAATAGCCTCTAAGCTCATTATTAAAAAGCTTCATGGATATTTCAACATAGGGTTAACCAACAGAAATTTCTACGTACGTAAATATTTTTGGAATCTTCAGACTTTTAGTTCCTCAAATTTTTAGACCGATCCAGATCAGAAGTTGCAGTGGACAATGCTCAATTGGTCCAATCCAGGCTGTGTGGGCAAACTGGGAGATTTCTATGAGTAAAATAATTCCTTAATAATTTTGTAATGATGATTCAAATTATTTTGTTTGCAGGATCGATAATGATAATTTTGCTAACTTCCGTGACAACTACAGACATTGGTGGTTTAGGTTGACCTGGAACTTTTGTGAATCATTTAAGAAAATGACAAATGAAGAAAGACAGGTAAATTAATTGCAGTTAATTCTTAATATGCCCTTCTTAACATAATAGTGATTATTTCAGGAATATGCAAAAACTTTATCTAAATGGGCTCTCTCGAATAATTTAAAAAATTCCACCAACGTTAAACCAGAAAAGTCAACGAGAAAACGTAAACAAATCGAAATTATTAATGATGATAAGCCAAGCGATACCACTCAAAAAGAGAAAGCAAAAAAAAAGTCTGATTCAGTTAATAAAAACTCTGAAAATCAGGGAGAGATGTTGGAAGAAATTAAAGAAGAAAACCAGACATTTGAAGAGAAAAAAAAAGATCAATCAAAAAATTCAACAGAAACAAACAGCCAAAGTTCTCAAGGCACAATCATAGACGAAGTACCTGAGTTGGAAAGGGAAAGGGACCCTAATTACGTAGAATTGCCCAGTATGGATGAAAACCCAATCCTGAATTCTATTATCAGAAATTTAGAAAAGTCCCCAGAGCCGATTCTGACACAACACTCAACGTTTACATATACTCCAATCAAATACAACATAGACGAACCAACTTGCTCAAAAGCTTTCGAAGAAGAGGATGTTCTTCTGTCAATAATCAACGATAAAGCACCTATTAATTGTGCTCTAGATGAGGAAGCGGCTTTCAGCTTGCAGAAAGAGGAACTTCGTTCACAGATTTTTAGTGACGAACCATGCACATCTAAAAGTTTCAGTCAGGAGAACGATACACAGTTTTTTCAGTCGTTGATCGATTCTGATGTCCCTATCAAGGCCAGGGTTAGTGAAAGTGAGTCGAGGCTAAATAGACATGATGATATAGAGACTATTTTAAGAGAGACGGAGGTGCTATTGAAACAGTGAACTAAACATTTGTTTCTTGCGATGAGGTCAATGCTTTATTGCAAAAAAAGGAACTGATTTGGGATTTTCTTTAAATTTATTACAGAGAATCACAAAATACAGGATGTTATTACGTATGTCGACAAACTTTCAGATAAGATTCTTTGTATGATTTAAATTTAAACTTAGGCTAAGGATTTATCTGATTTAAAGTAAATATCCATCGAGTTTTGATATAAATACATGTACCAGTGGCGGATAGATGGGGAGTCGTTCTCATTGAAAACTAGAAATTTGTCACCACTGGATATTTTGAAAATTTTATCACTGACTCCTCGTGATGTTTTCAGCAAAAAATTGATTTTAACTTTATTCAAAAAATGAATCATTTTCAGTTTATTACTTTTTAAAATTTTCAGGTTTGCAACATAGACCAGGGCGGATCTGTTGAAATATCCCACTTCTTGAATGTAAGAGGGGGCAAGCTACAATTATTTAAACAATTTTTATTTAAACAAATTAAAAATTTTTTTTAGAAATTATTTTTTTTGTTAAATACAAATAAAATTAAGAAAAAATAGTACTTTAAAATTATAATTTTTGAAAAAAACTAAATTGCAAATTGCTAACTGTAATCTAATTGTATAAAAATAAAAGAAAGAGTGTTTAAAAATTTCTTGTGGCCGTCCTAATCAACCGATTTCAATTTTTTTAGAACCATTTGAAAGGTTTTTCTATATGAAAAAAATTTCAATCATCTAGATGCTTTTTGCATTTTGAAAATTGGACATTTTTTTTCAAAAAATTCTGCGAAAATTATGAACCGATTTTAATAAAATTTGGTGTGTTGTTTTATTAGTTTTATTATACTCTAGTTTTTAAAAAAAAAAAAAAATCTAAAAAACTTGATTATTTTCCCTTTTTTTTTGAATTATTGCGATTTTGCAACCGGTAATAAATTGAAATATTTTTAACTTAGTTTATTGTACAAAATTCAATTCTAAACTTTTTTTCCTCTTCAATATTATTCCAAAATGCATAGACTCGGATAAAATAGGTATTTTTTAAACTTGCAATTTTGGAAATGTTCAGGACCTCGTCCAGATCTAGGTATCTACACTTTCATTATGTGAGTTGTACTAAAGGTAATCCAGAAAAAAATTGCTTGCCCCCTCTCACATCCACCTCGAAACAGATTTGTCCTGGTCTAACAGTTTTACAAGAAATTAGGCCATCCTCGACCACTTGACAGCAGTCGGTGCCATCGGATCTAAGAAAGTGTACCTCAAAAAGAGGCAATTTGTTACTTAAACTGTTATAAGGTAATACATGAAAAATGCCTAATTTGTCAATTCTGCGGACTTCAATTTTAATGCCCCCTAGAGGCAGACAGCCTACAAACTTCTAAATTTCTGAGCTTTGATCAAATTTTCGTAATATCCAATGGCATAGAATTTTTAGTAAAGTTACCCCTGGCATTTCATCTATGTGGATCCAGTCTGTGGATTTCTACCTTTAATTAGCATCATTAGTCAAAGTTTCATTATTCTGCATCCATCGTTTTGAGATAATTTAGAATATTTTTTATTTTGCAGCCCATTAACTTTTTTGTTATAAAATCACACAATCAACCCTTAGGAGCCTGTCACAAATAGGCAACCAGCAATACATTTTTATAGATTTTATAACACAGTTCGCCAAAATATGATTTAATGCACAAATAACAGACTTTCCCCCATTTTAACGTAGATTTTATATAAAATCGACAATTTGGAACTCAAATTACTTTTTGGTGTAAGGAAATTTGTAAAAGCGGCAAATTACCAATTTCCTTACACCAAAAAGTAATTTGAGTTTCAAACTAAATCGATTTTATAGAAAATTTGCGTTAAAATGGGGGAAAGTCTGTTATTTGTGTATTATAGACAAATTGTAATAAAATCTATAAAAATGTATTGCCTGGTTGCCTATTTGTTATAGAGGTCTCTTAAAGTACGCCGATATACTAAATTAACACTCTGTATACTGAGAAAATAGTTACGGATATATTTTTGTCCTTTTACAGGACTTTAGGTAATTTAATTCTTTTAGAGGCAGTATTATTATATTGCTCATCCCTTGCTGTGAAATTTTTAAGTGATGCATGCATTTTATGGCTTTATATTTTTTAGAGATGGGCACTTTTCGGAAAAGTGTGTTACGGACATGTCAGGAAAAGTACTTTTGACCTTGAATCTAATAAGGTGTCTATGGGTAACGTCATGTTTTCACAGGTCACTGCTTGAGGATACACAAAGCAAAATAGTACTTTTATTCTAATGAGTATGTGTCGATATATTTTACTTATTACTTACCTTTAGACTTGGCGAGGCGGTAGCCGAAGCGGTCGAGGCTTGCCTACAGAGGCGAGCCAGGACTGCGCGGCAAAACCATATTGAATCCCGCACGTGGCAGGAAAATTCGAAAGAATTTTCCTGTCGTACCATGGATGTTTGTGATTGTTAAGGTGGAGGGTAGTGTAAGTTAGCAGGCAAAAAGGGCCAAACATGGCCTAATCGCCGGTAAGCTTCATGACCTTTACCTTTTTTTACCTTTAGACTTTTTTACAAACTGGTTTCTAACTTTCCCCTGACAACCAATTCTATACTGGAATTCTTAAAAATTGTTTGTGAGCAGAAGTTAACATTTATAATGATTTTTATTCAATTCAGAAAAATATAACCGAACTGTTGATTTTGGCGTTATACTTCACTTATAAACTATTTGTGTATCAAAAATTAAATTAAGAATCAACTATTTACTAATCGTTAACTTTGCCAAAAATAATAAAATATGGATATATAAAAGAGGTTATATTTTTAAAATGTTTCAGTTCCAACCAGTATCATTTATCTAGGGTTCCAACAAAAATCGTGTACCAACCTCAAAAATTTTTTGCGGGAATTATGAATGCAACAAAAAATTCCGTGCATGTGCATACAACTTTTCAATCTTGAAAAGTTTCCTTAGGGCATGTCAGCCATAGATTAAAGATTAAATACAGAAATGTCAGCTGGACATGTGAAAAGTGGACATTTCCTGAGGACACTTCAAGATTGTAGTTGTATGCGCGGGATTATTTGTTGCATTCATAATTTCCGCAAAAAATTTTTGAGGTTGGTACATATAAAATTAAAGATATTTGCCATTTTGTTGGTAATTGTTCAACTGAAACACTGAAACTGACATTTTAAAAATATAACCTCTTTTATATGTCCATATTTTATTTAGTGATGGGCATAATCGACCAATTTTGATAATCGAGTTATCGGTAATCGAGTACTTCTAATAATCGAGTGATCACTCGAGATACGAGATATTGGTCGTTTTCATCCCAGCGGCGCACAAATATGTTTGTATTAGTCATATATTACTTATAAGCGTAGCTAAAAAAAAAAAAAGCTCACGCACTTCAAAACCTAACCACTTTTTCGTTTTATTCTAAAAAAAAGGTTACGCAATCAGTGACTATTTGCAGTATGCACTAACATTTTGGGGTGCAACCGTAGGGTAATAATCACTCGAGTGGTGGGAGTAAACATCTCGAGATATCTCGAGTGATCTCAATAATCGAGTACCACTCGATTTTTCACTCGAAATCTCCCATCACTA